ATTTTATGATTTTTGTAATTCTATTTCAAAAATAAGTGAACGCAGTGGCGGAGGTGGCAAAAGACACTCGCTCCCCCTTATTATATCTTCCTAAAAAATCGTGGTCCAATTTTACTATTTTTTAAATCACAGATTTTGTATTGTTCTACGACTTTTTTTGTAATTTTATTAAAAAACAAGTATAGGCATAGGCCTAGGCCTACTACGCTAATTCGCAAAATATGGTAATTCTAGGTTATTTTTAACTACTTGACCGTGATTTTTTTCGGGGGGGGGGGGGAACTGGGGGAGCGACTAATTTTCCCCTAGATACGCCACTGCAGGCAACAACTTTCAAACTAACTAATGAAAAGAGCTCATTTTAACAGCAAGACGAAATCTCAGAGATCCGGTAACGCGGATGAATATTAAACTGCCGTCTGTCTTTCAAAAATATATTTCCCCCGGAACACATAAAAGACCATTATTCGGCTAACTAATACGGTATACTATAATAATAACTACATTTGTCGTTAACGTCTAGCGATAGAGAATTTGAACTGTAAATTTTTAAGAATACGAACGGACGTAATTTTGAAGTTTTAGCTCGAACTACAACTAAAGTTCTTTTCAAGAATACCAGGGTTAATCTTCAAATGTTGCAAAACAAAATGGTTAGATTCATATTAGATAAATATGAATTATATTCTCTAGGACTGCTGAATATTGAAAACCATGTTAAACAACTAGGCCTAAGGCTTAATCATGTAATTAACTTATTATATAGTAGATCAGTTCCGTAGGCCTACTTATATAAACATTTTATCAAAACAAGTAACGTACATGGTCACAACATCCGCATTAGGAACTATAATTTCTACGTGTCAAATGCGAATGTTTTAGTCAAAAGCACGTTTTACTATACAGCTTTTAAAGTTTGGAATCAACTACCAACATCAATTAAAGCCACTTCTATATTGTTATTAATATATTTACAGTAAAGTTAAAAAAAAAAACATATTGTTACTCGTCCCACAAATGACCAATTAAATGTTGTTATTATTATACCTATGGTTAAATAGCATAATTCACCACGTATATATTAGTTACCCGTATTTTATTTGAAATGTAATATAGATTAAAGATGGAAAAATGAATGAAAACAATTAAAAAAAAAGAGTGACAATAAAGGTGGGTGACTCCCACGAAAGACAAAAAAAAAAGAAGCATAATTCACCACAGTGAAGATCCTTTTTGTTTCTGTAACCTTTTTACTGATCAAAGGACCCAATTGGAAATATGTCATTCCTAGATTTTTAGTTGGTTGGATTTTGCAGTTAATTATAAGTAATCATATCCAGTATAATATTTGATGTGTTGTAGTTACGTTGATGTGTTGCCACTTGACGAAATGGAATATGTGCGATTCCTGGGTTTTATAGTCGTTGGCAACTTTGATGGTTAGATGTTGACTTTTGCAGTTAAGCACGAGTTTGTGTTTCATAACAGCATGGAGCTATGAAATCACAATTACCGTTTTTGGTCCGCGCCTACACCTACAAAACAAAACAGGGGTGTCAGCACAAATTGTACATTATTGCCATTACCACATTAGGGCATGTCGCATGAATGGCGCGGTCGTTTAAGGATGTGTTCTAAAGAACATATGGATGTGTTCCAAAGAACATAAGGTTGTGAGTTCGAAACGATCGTCTTGGTATTCCATTTTTTTTTAAATTTTAAGCATTTTAATTTTGTACAAGTGATCATTCTAAATAATTTTTTGTACAAATAAACATTCTAATAATTTAAAAATTACTGTACATTATTGCCACTACCACTAATAGTTCGCGGTCGGTTAAGGATAAGTTCTAAAGAACTGAAGGTCGTGAGTTCCAAACGCGTGTTGGTATTGATTTTTTTTTTTTTTTCAAATTTAAGAATTTATTTTTTCCAATTTGAAGTATTTTAATTTTGTACAAATGATAATTCTAAATTTTTCGTATAAAATAAACATTCTAATTATTTAAAAATGTCTATCTTATTAGCTCTTCCAAAAAACCTAATATAATAACTTGCGCCTGTACCGTATTTAAGCATGGAGGAACGCGCGGACCTGGTGAGCGGACGCTCTTGTTTAGCATACGCTATAGCCTAACATAATTAGATTTATAACAATTACCTTCAACACGTTCTGAAACTCGATTTTAAATGATGACGTCATGGTTACGTTTAGTGGAATATATCTACATAGATTTTACAGGAGTTGTCAATTTGATATTACTTTAGACAGATTTTGATGTACAGTTAACATGAACATGTGTATTAGCCAAATTGACGTAGTATCAATAAGATGACAGGGGCCAACGATATTGACGGCGTCGTTTAAGATGTTAAATTCCTGCCAATATGTGTACATTTTGTTAATGTGTGGCGGAGAGAGTATACAGGGAGATTTATAGCATCCGTCTTTTCGCTTCAACTCTTCGAACTGGTGTTGAATACTTCAACATATCTCTTTACTTATAGGACTATTGTAGAGTATAAACAAAATTAATTGAATTCATGTTTATTAATAACAACTATTTTTTAAACTGTTGTAGCAAAGAAGAATCTTCATTTTCAGTCAGTTTAGGCTCAATATAGAATCGACTTTTTGCAACTCGCTTGCTTTGATTGTTCAAGTAAACAATTATGTATATTCTCAGTACCAATACCGAGTAATCGTCTTGAAGCACATATCATAAAATCATTTGAAGATATGAATATGGAATTTAATAAGTCGGATGCACATAATGAGAGCTCGTTGACAGATTACATTTATGAAATTGTCAATAAGGATGCTTTCTTTCTGTACGCAATACCGACTCTGTACGTATTATGTGCAGTGACAATTCTTGCAAACATATTTGTAATGGTTTTAATTATCGCCAGTAAGAAACTCCGAAAAAAACAAAACGTCTTTATAGGTTTGCTAGCTTTGGCTGACGCTACATATACAATGTGTATATTAATAATTTATGTATCTAGTATGCTAATAAATATTAATGTCTCTTCCGTGATAGTTCCAGTACAGAACGTAGCGATTTTGATATCAATTTGTTCAATTGCTTGTATTGCTATTGATCGCTACATCGCACTTGTGTGGGCACCGATGAGATATCACCTTATTGTCACTCGGAAATCTTGTACAATCGCCGTCCTTGTTGTGATAATAAGTCAGACGAGTGTTGCGCTTTTTCTCTTTCTATACTGTGGGTGGTGCAGCCACGTTATGCTTATAGTTATATCATTGTATATCGCAGTGAACACGACTCTGTATATAACAATTTACAAAAGTATTCATAACTACCGAATGAAAGTCCCTCGGTTGAAACACACATTTAGAGAATCCAAAAGATTGCTGGGAACGTTTAGTATTATTGTTGGAGTGTTAATTTTAACGTGGGGGATGGTCTGCTCTGTCTGTCTTATTCTTTACTATAAAGGGATATTATCAAATACATATACCTATATGTCTATTATTATATATTATTTGTCTTATTGCTTGACAACGATTAACTCTCTTGCTAATCCAATAATTTACTGGTTTCGGCTTACTGAATTTCAAAAGGCAGTTAAAGATACGAGTTGTCTCAAGTGTTAGAGGTACCGTACCTTATGTTGTTCTAGGTTTTAAGCAATATAACCTGACACTTGAACGCATGAGCCTATTCAAACCCATTATTATTATTCTTTATATTTAACTAGATGGTGCGATCGTTTTGCTCGCTTACACTCTAGTTTGTTAAACATTGCGAATAGTTTTGATAAAATAGAACAATTATTTATGACCACTAAAAGCTATGACCACTAAAAGCTGGCCTAATTACAGACGGACGGAAATTTATCACTGGGCCTAGACCCCAACGTTCAGGTTACCGTATTTTTCGATGATAACTCGTGGATAAATGTGGTGGTGAAGGTTAAGCATATGCATGTGTCAATGCTTAACTTTAGTAGATTCTAGATTCTAGAGAATAAATTATATGTTGTTAGTCTCAAAAGTGCTGCTGTTTTTTACTTTATATAACAATTAACTAATACTTTTAGGCACGCTTTGCCTGTTAGATATTTGATGCGTGGTTGCCATGGATTGACAATTTAATAAAGTGTCAGACAGGTTATTGAGTTTTTAAAAGTGCGTACATTATTAGCGTAAGTCACGAACATACTGCATCAGTCACCGTTTCCAACAGCCATTGATGTGGAAGCCCTCGAAATATTGATTCATTTTTGTAAAATCAAATGAAGTAATATTATTTAAGCTAATTTTCAGAATTAACGTTGTCCTTGACTTTTGCAGTTAAATATTTGTTACCTACAGTGCTTCAGCTCAATATCAAATCAACTTTTTTGCGATGGTCAGGAAAGCCTCTGCACAGTCATTCTTTTTGTCCGCTTTATTGAATTTTCAGCCATCACAACATTTTAAGCCCAAGACAAAACAATGGAATCCACCGTTATGGAAGTACAAACTGAGTGTTCGTTGTTAGACAAAGTGTCTGAAGTTTTCAATACGGAACCTTTCTTTTTTTACGCGCTGCCAATACTCTACGTATTCTGTGCACTCTCATTTCTTACAAACATTATTGTTGTGGTGTTGATTATCGCCACCAAGAGGCTCCGTAAAAAAACAAAACGTGTTTATAAGTTTGCTCGCTTTTGCTGACGCATCAAGTTCCATTTGTAATATACTAACGTTTGTATTGTTGTTACTAAAAAGCAACTACTACTGGATAATATTAAATGTATTAAATGCTTCGTTTTTTATATCAGTCTCTTCAGTTGCTTGTGTTGCTATCGACCGCTACATCGCACTTGTGTGGGCACCAATGAGATATCATCTTATTGTCACTTGGAAATCTTGTGCCCT